AGAGAATAGGAGGGGACAGTCGGTGAGGTAAATAAAATGAGAGGGTGGTGCCGAGAATGGCAGTGTTACCGCGTGAAATGACTCTTAGTTGGGGCAGACAGTAAGAAAGTCGGCCAGAAGGATCATAGTAAGATTCGGCAGGAGGATAAATACATAAAGGGACAAGGGGAGACAGGAATACGAAGAGTGGAAAAAGGGGGTGGAGGAATAATAATAAATCGGGGGGGGCGTGGCGGCGCTGCGCCACAGCAGCGAAGACTGGGGTGTGAGCGGGCGGCGGAGGGAGAGCGCGCGCACGCGCGGCGGTGGAGAGGGAGAGGGATGCGTGAGAGGCGGCTCGAGCCGCCTTGAGCTGCGTTGCCATCCCGATGGTGGGAGGGATGGTGCCCGAGATGCCGGCGTGGTATGCCTCGAACTTCTTGAGGGTGCCGGAGACGAAGAGGGTGGGGGGGAGCGTCCCCGTGATGTCAGTCTGCGAGATGTCGATCTGCGCGAGCACAGGCGGAGGTGTGAGGGTGAGCTCACGTGGCGGAGGCGGAGGGCAGGGGGAGGGGAGGGGAGGCTTCGAGGGAAGGTGCGGATCGCCTCTTCGATGACAGAGTCGCTGGAGAAGAGGGTGTCCGGCAGCGTGCCCGTGATGTCGCAGTTCCTCACGTCAATCTCCTCCAGGGCTGTCAGAAGGGCGAGCTGCGGCGGGATAGTCCCCTTGAGTTTCGGGATAAATTTGAACTTGATCTCGTCGATCAAGCCACGTTTGCACGAGATCCACTCCTTATCGCAGCACTTGATGTTGGGGTCGAGCCAGGTTTCCCCCACTTTTGCCCCGGTGCTGCTCTTCCACTCGGGTCCGCTCATCGCGTCGTAGCAGGCCTTCAGCGTCGGGTAGCACTCTCTATCGCCCACCCGCCACGCCAGCGGCGTAGAGGGCGGACCCGGGGGAAGCGGTGGAGGCGGCGGAGGGGGAGGCGGTGACGGCGGCAAGGGCGGCGGCGTTGGCGGCGGCTTATCCTGCGCTGTCGGGCCGATCGTCAGCAGAGCGAACATCGTTCACGAGACGCCGCCGCCGTAGCTGTCAGCGCTGTCGAACCGGTGTTTCGACACCGATATCGTTCCAGAACGCTGTCCATAATCCGCTGTTCACACTTCACGTAAACGCACAACCCCGGGCCCGAAATTGCACAGAGTCACGCAACACGGGTCACACTTCACAGGTAAGTGTAAGGGAGCAGCTGAGTAGATACAGCGAATCCTTTGTGTTCACACCTGCAAGAGCAGGTGTGAACCGATTTCGGCCTTAGCCGTCGGTATGCCAATAGCGTGCTAGCCAAGTAGTACGCAGTTGGATTCCGAGGGTGTCCCATCACAAGTTCGGCTGCCGACAGACAAGATTGTCCCTTAGTCGACAGCACACGCCTTTGGACGGTGCTCTGACTGGCTTTGAGAATACATTTTTTCTTTTTGGTTCACATGGCTAGAGGTTGGCCTCCCACCGTTGTGAACATAGTCTGGCCCGAAGGAGCCGCTCGTCTCTTGTCCGGGCAAACGCGCGCCCGATAGCCCCATCACGTGTGAGGGGTATCCGAGCGCCGTAAACTCCCTGAGCTTGCTCGTCACGCTGAGCGTGAATCCCTCGTCATCGCTCGCCATTGCGACAACCTTGAGCAGGCATCCAACAACGATTCCCTCCTTCATTTTCGCGCATGTGAAGCTATCCCAACGATGGTAGCGCCACACCCGGGGTACCGCCTCGCACTCCTCGTTCACGTTCTTGAGTCTCGTCCGGAAGCTTCCGCTTGGGTCGAGCTCGAGAGTCGTTTCCAAGAAATGGGCGCTCTCTGCTGCCTCTAGCTTCAAAGGAGCCCAGTAGCATTCAGAACGGCGGAAGTCCTCGTGTTTACCAGCTACTCGAGTAGGGGGCCCACGCACAGCCCCCAAAATCCACCACTGTGGGATTTCGCGCAAAAGCTTGACTCTGAATAGCTCGCTATGTACCTTTCTGAGCGCTGTGGTCGCCGCAGACTGGCTCCGACTTGACGGGCGCATCGTTGGTGGAGAATCTCGGCGGTCGGTA